TAGCCAGGCATGGTGGTGCACCTGTAGCCCCAGCTACTTGGGAGGCTGAGGCGGAAGGACTGCCTGAGCCCAGGAAGTCAAGGGTGTGGTGAACCATGATCATACCACCGCACTCCAGCATGGCAGCATGGGTGACAGAGTGAGACCCAGACTCAAAAAAAAAAAAAAAGCCTGGTCTTCAGTCTGCAGCAGGGTCTTCAGTCTGCAGCAGGGTCTTACATGACCTTAAGAAAAAAATGCAGCCGGGCGTGGTGGCTCGCGCCTGTAATCCCAGCACTTTGGGAGGTGGAGGTGAGAGGACTGCTTGAGTCCAAGGGTTCAAGACCAGCCTGGGCAACTTAATGAGACCTCATCGCTACAATAAATCCAAAAAATCAGCCGGGCGTGGTGGTGTGCACCTGTAGTTCCAGCTACTTGGAAGACTGAGGTGGAAGGATCACCTGAGTCCAGCAGGTCAAGGTTGTGGTGGCCATGAGCAGCGTGCCACTGCACTCCAGCCTGGACCACAGAGTGAGAATCCAACTCAAAAAAAAAAAAAGAAAAGAAAAGAAAAAATGCAAGATGAAGGCGTTCCAGCCAGATACCATCAGCAGGAAACGCCAAGAGCAAAAAGACATCACGGGGCAGCGCTCCCAGTTTTCAGAGAGAAGCAACTGAGAAGTGTAACCAGAGAACACTCTGGCTCTCCAGGGGGGTCAAGAGGGAGGCAGAAGCTTCAAAACTGGCCAAGGACCTGCCTTTCTATTGTCAGCTGGGCTGGAACAGAGAGACACAGCTAGAACAGAGGTGGGCAGTCAACTGTCTGTGACCTGGGCAAGTTTCTGTTTGTTTTGAAACACTTGGTATAAAGCAACTTAATTCCCAGCCAATTAATTGTATTATCGTGATGAATGAGTGAGACCATATGGGAAAGTTTATCCATCACCTCACAAATAAGCATTCAAGTCTACCTGTCCCATGGCGGCCGACTGAGGCTTCAATGCTGGGCTCTCACCAGCCTGTTGTGACTGCCAGTGCAGGTATGCTGGGTCCTCATTTTTGCCTGGTCCAGGAAGGCACTGGAGTGTGGTTCCCAAGCGGCCTTTGGCAAAATGATCACTGGGATCCTGGTAAAAATAAAGGTCTCTGCGCCGCATTCCGGGAAGTCTGATTTAATAGGTCTTGGTGGGGCCCAGAAATGTGCATTTTTAACAAGGATAGTTCTGAGAGACTGATTGAGTGGAAACAGAGCCCAGAGCTGGTATTCAGGAATTTTGTTTACTACTGTGGTCAATTTACTTAGTCTCTAAGAACCTCAGTTTCCTTACCTGTAAAATAGGCACACTAAATTGGCTCTCTATATTTTCCTTATAATTGTACATAATTTTTTTCTGTGCCCCAAAGCTACCCTTGACCACAAGAACACTCATACTAGCAGTGATAATTTCTCCAGAGACATTCTTTTTTTTTTTTGAGTCAGAGTCTCACTATGTCACCACTATGCAGTGGCTCCGCTCACTGCCACTGCAGCCTCAACCTGCTGGGCTCAGATGATCCTCACTGCCACTGCAGCCTCAACCTGCTGGGCTCAGATGATCCTTCCGCCCCAGCCTTCCAAGTAGCTGGATTTACAGGTGTGCACCACCACATCTGACTAATTTTTCTTGATTTATTGTAGAGAAGAGGTCTCACCAACCCAGGGTTCAGACAATCCTCTCGCCTCTGCCTCGCAAAGTGCTAGGATTACAAGTGTGAGCCACCGTGTCTGGCCTCCCAGAGACATTCAGAGTCTTGCTTACCCCTCAATAAAATGAAAGTAACACGTCTATAGATAAGTCGGCAATAGTTAAAAATAACCACTTTTAAGGCCAGGCACAATGGCTCATGCCTATAATTCCAGCACACTGGGAGGGCGAGGTGAGAGGATTGCCTGAGCCCACAGGTTCGAGATCAGCCTGGGCAGCTTGGCAAGACCTCATCTCTACAATAAATCAAAAAAATTAGCCGAGCACGGTGGCAAGTGCTTGAGGCAGAAGGATCACAGGAGCCCACAGGTCGAGGCTGCGGTGGCCGTGAGCATGCCACTGAATTCCAGCCTGGACAACAGAGACTCCAACTCAAAAAGTAAAAAATACATTGAAGCCAGTGTTCATTCACTGTTCCCCAGACCCCAAAATCCTTTAAAATTATGCTAAATCAATTCCACCTGTGCTCCATAAATAGAAGAACAAAGCCCATACGACAGCACATCTGTGTACAGCAGGTTTGTTTACTGAATATTATAAGCTCACTGTTGAAACCTACTGCTCAGAGAAAAGATTCGTTCCAAAACAGGACTGTTCACTGACAATGCACCTGGTCACCCAAGAACTCTGACAGAGAGATACAAGGAGATTCAAGTAGTTTCCATGCCTGCTAACATAACATCCCTCCTACAGCCCACAGACCAAGGAGTCATTTCAACTTTCAAGTTGTATTATTTAAGAAATACATTTTGGGCTTGGAGTGGTGGCTCAAACTTGTTATTCCAAGCACTTTAGTAGGCCGAGGCGAGAGGATTGCCTAAGCCCAGGGACCAGCCTGGGCAACTTGGCAAGACCTTGTCTCTACAATAAATCAAAAACTTAACCAGGCATGTTGGCGCATGCCTGTGGTTCCAGCTACTAAGAAGGCTGAGGTGGAAGGATCGCTTGAGCCCAGAGGGTCAAGGCTGCAGAGGCTGTAAGTATGCCACTGCACTCCAGCCTGGGTGACAGAGTGAGACTCCAACCCTGGTGAATCTGGGTAAAGTAAATAAAAAACCTTCTGGAGAGGATTAATCATTTTAGATGTCATTAAGAACATTTGTGACACCGGGTGCGGTGGTTCCCGCCTATAATTCCAGCACTTTGGGAGGCTGAGGTGAGAGGATTGCCTTCACCCGTGGGTTTGGGACCAGACTGGGCAACATGGTGAGACCTCGTCTCTACAATAAATCAAAAATTAGCCAGGCATGGTGGCACATGCCTGTAGTTCCAGCTACTTGGAAGGCTGAGGCAGAAGGATTGCCTGAGCCCAGCAGGTCGAGGCTGCGGTGGCTGTGAGCAGTGTGCCACTGCACTCCAGCCTGGGTGACAGAGCAGACTCTGACTCAAAAAAAAAAAAAAAAAAAAAAAGAACATTTGTGATTTGTGATTCACTGGAGGAAGTCAAAACATCAACATTAACAGAAGTTTAGAGGAAGTTGATCCAACCTTCACGGATGACTTTGAGGGGTTCCAGACTTCAGTGGAAAAGGAGACTGCAGATGTGGTGAAAAGAGCAAGAGAACTAGAATTAGAAGAGGGTTCTGAAGATGGGGTTGAACTGATGCAAATCAAGAGTTGCTTCTGATGGATGAGCAAAAAAAAAGGAAATGTTCTTAAGATGGAATCTATTTCTAGTGAAGATGCTGTGAATATTGTTGAAATGCCAAAGGGTTCAGATTATATAAATTTAGTTGATAAAGCAGTGGCAAAGTTGAGGATTGTTCTCAAGTTTGAAAGAAGTTCTGCTGTGAATAAAACACTACAAATAACACTACATGCTACAGCAAACCTCATTCTTATTTGAAGAAATTGCCTGGTCTCGCCATGTTGCCCAGGCTGGTCTCAAACTCCTGGATTCAGGTCATCCTCTCTTCACCAACAGCGCAGCTGGGCTCAATACGTGTAAAAAGTAGCATAAATGTTTCTAATTAGAGACTTGTGCCCTTGGAGGAAAAAAAATGGGCTCATCAACTTCCAGTCTGGCTGAGGACAGTGGGAAGGAATATGGAGCCATCTAATGGGGTTGCCACGTGTAGCCATATCATCAGCTTTGTTGTTATCGTTATTGCTACAGTTACCATTTTATTGCAAGTATCTATCATGCTATCACTACTCCTACTACCACTGACTCTCAGTTATCTCCCTCTGGCTGG